CGGCTTCGCTGCGCTGCGGTTGGCGCCCGCTGATGAAACCAGGGCAGAGACGGTTATGAAGGTGGCCACAGCCACGGAGCGCACTGCAAGGGCGGCAATCGAGCGACGGCCCTGACGTGATCGCTCGTCGTCCGTTAACATCGCGTCTGTCAAGTCAGCAGCTGTCAAGCCAAGGAAGAGGATGAGAGGGCAGGCTTCAAGGAGCTGGGTTCCAACTTTTTCCGGGGTATGGTATGGTGTGCAGACTCGCGGCCCAAAGGGGTAGGGGGTATGGTCCTGCCCGCCCAAGACTAGCCCTACCATACCCCCAAGCAGGTCTGCCAGCAGGCGGGGGGGTATGGTCTTGAGCTGGCATGCGCGACCCTACCATACCATACCCCGGAAAAAGTTGGAACCCTGATAGGAAGTCGCCAAAAGTCGCCAGAAGTGGGCTCCAAGTGCAGTCATCTCCAGGGAGAGATGGGCGACGCACACGAACACAGAGGGACAGTGCGCACCCCGCCCCGCTCGCAGGGCGTGCATCACACGGTGGACTGTCGGTGACTCCTCGGGTTTCCGGGACTCAGACAGAGGTGCTAGTCGCTATTCTCAAGGAGCTGATACAAGAGAAAGCGGATAGGAAACAAGAACACAACGCACTCTCTCACATGACAAGCGATCCAAGAAGGAAGAAGTTTTTTCTCCCACTACTAATCCGAAGCCCCGGGCAATTCGCTTCCCGCACGCCCCAGAGGCCCCACCCGAGAACAAAGGCGCGAGAAGTAAGACGAGGGATGGTGGTGGGTGGAACAGCAAGGCGGCGCAAGCTGGCGGAGCGGCCGAGGAGGACGCGTGCGATCGTTGGACGTTGCGTGTGGAGGCGCAGCCGCGCGCAACTTGTTTTTTAGCTTCGATGTCGGAGCAAAACAAAATCGCCGGCACTCGATCACGTTCTACCCGCCTGCCTGTGGCGTCACGCGGGGGTAGTGCGGAGAGAACGACGCGCGCTACCCCGCGCGAGCGGGCAGCTGCGGCTCGACGATGCTCAGCTCGAGCTTGGGCTTGTGCGCCTTCTCCGTGTTGACGTGGATGCGCACGCGCACCTTGTCGAACGTGCTCAGTGAGCAGCCCGGCGCGCGGAGCGTCTCTGCCGCCTCGTCAAAGGCAAACGGGTTGCGCTCGCCGGCGCCGCAGACAAAGATGACGCCCTCGATGCCGTAACGCGGCACGAGGACCACGACGCCGTTGTCGCGCACCTTGATGACGTGCGCGTCCTCCACCACCTCCTTCCCGCGGAAGAAGATGAGGGTGTGCAGCCCGACCGACGCGCGGCCGGCGTACTGCGCCATCGTGTGGCGGTGGTTGAGGTTGTCGGTCAGGTCCGTCATTGCGCGCGCGTCGAGCACGTCCGAACTGAGCGGCTCCCACCCGATGATGGCCGCCAGCAGCCGGTGCACCATCTGGTCCGAGTAGCGCCGGATCGGCGACGTGAAGTGCGTGTAGATCGGGCACGCGAGGCCATAGTGGACGTACTCGCTCGGCGGAGCGGCGCCGGAGGAGAAGTAGCGCGCCTGCTGCATCGCGCGCGTCGCCAGGATGCGCGTGAGCTGGTTGAAGTACGGGTCGTCCGGCTTGGCGCACGCGTCGAGCGAGCGGCCGAGCGCGAGCGAGGACGCGTCGTCCAGCTCAAACCCGTGCTGGCCGAGCGACCGCTTGAGCGACTCGAACGCGCCCGGCAGCGGCGGCGGGTGGCGGCGGAGCATCGCGCACTTTGGGAAGGCGGCGGTGGTCGCGGCGGCGACGGAGCAGTTGGCGAGGAGCATGAACTCCTCCACCATCGAGTTCGCGTCCTTGTGCTTGTAGATGCCCACGTCCGTCGGGTCGGACGTCTCGGAGTCGAGCACGAAACGGACCTTCCCGCAGCGGCACGGGGGTGTGGGACGGTCGGGGGGGGGGGGGGGGGGAAGGGGGGGGGGGGG